GCAGGCGCTGCTGTGCCCGCGTCGTGTGGCGGTGCCCCTCGGGTGGGAAGAGCTGCCGGTGGGAAGAGCTGCCCACCTGTAACCAGCGGGGTTTCGTACTAGTACAAAACCTTCCCGCGTTCTAACCTGCAAACGCCTGTAGTTAACTGTAGCCGCGGTAAAACCCGTCAGCAGCTCATCCAAGCGCTGGCAAAGGAGGAGGCTGGGCCAGCTCCTCTGACAGCACTCACAACGCTGACAGTGCCCAGGAGGCCGAGCCTTGCGCTTCTTGGCCCTCTTCGTCACTTTGTGGTGTGAAGCAATTAACGTGTCAAAAAAGCGCAAAACGGAGGTTTGAATGTGTGTATTTCTCAAGGTAGTGAACAGCAGAGCAAAATCCTCTCTGTGAGCACTTCAGAGGTGGCATGTCCTGCCATGTATGGGAGAAGTTGTAAATCTCTCTGAGGTCCCTCTTGTTTTGCTAACAGTGACTTGTAGAAGTCTGTTTGAAAACCTGGGACCAGTTTGAGAGAGGGAACTGCTGCTGGAACATGTCTGTTTTCCAGGCATGGTATTCTGACTTAACAGTGGGAGGATGTAAATATTTATTTGTAGGTTTGCTGCTAATGCTGCATGCAGTTGTTAGAAAACAGTTTCTCTTTCTAATAGTAGTTCGTACTACAGCATTTTCTGTCTTATTTAAAAGCATAATTTGTTGACTTCTAAACATTCATTTAATATTATCTATGTTGGAAAAAAATATGGAGTATTCTAAATAATACTCTGATCTGAAGTAAGTTGCAAGCTGGCTTACATAGTAAAGAAGATCTAAAAGCAAAACTTTACTGCCTAAGTTGTTAACGAAGCAGGAAGTTAATTTTTGGATCTATTAACCTTCATTTGCTAACCTCGGCATAGTCACGTTAGCCTACAAAAGAGAAACTTGGTATAGCTACAAGGGTTGTTTTGTCAGTGCTGTAGGACAAATTTGTTTAAGCAGTTATGAATTCTTAAATATTGCGCGACGAGTTTTCAGATCTCCTAGCAGCCAAAACCTACTTCAGCTTCAATCCGAAGCCAACCAACAGAAAGTTACTAGCAAAATCTGTGTCATGTTATTGGCAGTTGTCTGAAATTCTTGTCAGCCACCACATGTCTTTTGTATTTACTCATTATGTCAGGGCTTAAACAAAGCATCTTTAGGCAGCTGTTGTGCTGGTAAGGAGTGCAAGGCTTAAAGGTAAGCAGTAGCTCCATGCAGGTGATGCAGGTCACCATTGGCTGTGTTGTCGCCCAGAATTTCTCTTTCCTCAATAATCACTTTCACTGTGTAGAAAACAGTACCTTGGGCTGGGGGAGAAATTGTGAACTGGTTTGGGTTTGCTAAGGCATCATACT